TGAAATAGACACCCTAAAAAAAGTGGAAAATCACATACAATAAAAAGCATTATTTCTAAAACTGAATTTAACATAATAATATAACACCGCTCAATGTAAACTACAGAGAAAGAAGGGGTTCCCACTGACATTGAATACAAAATTACACAGGTTACAACTATAATCTCAGAGCCAATGTCCCAGTAGCATCTATCATCTGATATTAAATCAGAACTTTGATCATACATTAAAAAGGAATAAGTCTAACAATTCTTGTACCTATTATCTTCACTTTTTCTTTTCAATCTTGCATTTTTCTACTGTTTCCTGTTATAATTTTTTATATGAAATAAGCTTACTCCTCAGTGAGGAGTATATGTGTGTGAGTGTTGTGTGTGCACACCTGTATGCATTTAATAAAATCTATTTGGAATCTCAAATGATTTTTCCTTAGATTTTCCTCTGAATTCCTCCTTCATCACAATGTTATGAGTAGCACTTAAATCTTACTTAACAATCAGAATGTACTCTAATAGATACATTCGCGTAAAAACCAGTACAATGCTATTTTGCATAACTTCTGTTTAAATAATCTATGACAGTGAAAAGTATAGAGGGAAGAATACACAGATACCCCTGAGAAAAAGTGAGCACAGGAAGGAAAAAAAACAATGAGATACCTGTAAAGTCTCAAATGCTATGTGGTGACCATGGAGTTAGGATATAAAAAGTATGTAATAATGGCAAAAAGCTTTTAAACATTAAATGCCAGATACATTTCTAAGCATTCTTTAATACAAATTGAATAATTCACCTATCACAACTCCATAACGTAGAGATTATTATTATCACCCAAGACACAGATGTCAAGGAGACTGGTGCACCTACAAAGTGGTGAATCTGGGATTAGCATCCAGCAGTCCAGCTGCAGAGTCCAAGTTCTTAACTATGTGAGTGTGCTTGCAGTTATGATGCTCACAATCGGGGAACACATGTACACATAATTCTACATCGTCTCCAGTACAGTAATGACATTCCTTATGTCACATTTTCAAATGCATGGGAGGTTCAGCTAGATTGATGAGACTAACAACAACTACAAAAAGAAAATCCACACAGGAGTAGAACACTATTTCCCCATCACATGGTTAGCTAATGTCCTTGCAGAATCTAGCATACAAACTGGGTGTGGGGGGTGTATAATATAACCATTCTTTTCATAGTGTAAGAGGTCAAGAATCACATACATTTTGTGACACATGTAAGTCTATATAACTTATGAAAAGTTATTTTCATTGACTGGTCAAACAAACAATTATACAGTTCACAAGGACAAACAATTGAATCTGCACTTAGTGATCTCTTTCTGTTTCTCAAACAAGAGATTTATAAGGGTTAACAGGCTCATTTCACCAATTCTAAATTTTTTTCTTTCCCAGTTTTAGATTTAATATTTATACTTATACTATATCTGTAGTGGTACAAAATTTTCAAATTTTATATTAGTCTACAATACTCACCAAAATAATTTTCCTCAGAAATCTAATGAAGCCTTGAGTATACATTAACTAAACTACTGATTGATTTGTAAGAATAAATTAGGTTGTCTTTTTTGGCAAATTTATCTTGGTTTTCAGAAATACTAAAATGTTCCATTATATGGTAGGAACAAATCCCTAAAATTCCAGATGAATCAAATAATTAAATGTAAAAAAAAAAAAACACTGTAAAAGAACAGTACAAAATTCATTTGAATATTCACTCAGTTTTAGAAATGGAAAAGATTAGAATTAGATTATTTTAAAAATTACAAAGGTAATGGCTAATAAATTTTACCAAAAAAGCCTTATATCAAACAGTTCCAGAATTACAGAAACATAATAAAGTGCAAATTAAAATTAACTACCTCTTCTGATTTATTTTTAGCAAAATTTTTTATGACAATATTATTCAATGCAGATGCAATAAGAAGGATATCCTACTATAGGTAGTAGTATGAACTGGTATAAAATTTTTTGTGTGTGTTACAAGTATTAACAATCTTAAAAATAAGCAGTTTATTGGGAGGATCAAGGGGTTTGAAATGAAGTAAACCTAGACTCAAGGCTCATATGGGTTCCCTGAGCTTAAGACAAGAGGAATCAGATAAAGTGTGGATCTGGGGAATTGAAGGGAGAAGGGATAAGGCAAGAGACAAGTAGACAGAAGTTATCATTTGATGTGATTAAACTCTTCAATATAGGTTCTTTAAGAAAACTAGTTAAGAGTATTTTTGGATTTTTTACTTATGAAGACTTTGTCATTTTATTTTACAGCAATTTCTTATACTGGTCTTTCCTTTTCCTGATGCTACCAGAATCCTTATGCTCCAGTACCTTATAATGATAAATTCAAATGAAATGGTACTCTGTGCCTAACTTTTCATCCTTCCTGGCAGATTTTTTAAAGTACAGTGCTAATTAAATACAATACTCAAAGATATTCTTCAGTAACCCACTAATTATCAGTCATATTATGATGCTGAAAAACAGGATAAAAGGGGACTGGAGAAGATATGAAGAGCCTACAATGAACCAATGTTTTCTTCTAGTACTAGGGCTTGAACTCAGGGCCTACACCTTAAGCCACTTTACCAGTCCTTTCTTGTTATGTGTTTTTTTCAAGATATGGCCTTGTGAACTATTTGCCCTGGCTAATTTTGAACCACAATCCTCCTGATCTCTGCCTCCTGAGTAGCTAGGATTACAGGCGTGAGGCACTGGCACACGGCAGAACCAAGTATTTTGTAAGCATCATCTCCCAGCAAAATAGATATTGTATTGATACCCCCACTTTGAAGATTAGGCAGCAAAAATTCAGAATAGGTAATTAAATAAAGCTCCAGCTAATAAGTGGCAGACTATAGACTTGATCCCATCAATGTCGCCATTATATCATGATGCTCTTCCGACTCTTAGTCTAGTTATCAGAACCAATAAAGTATTTTCCAGACAGTCCAACAACAAACTTTCTGTTACAGCCAACTCAGTTTCAGTCAGACCAAAACAATAAGCATTACCTTTTCTACTTCTACTTTACTGTTTGTATCACTCCTTGTACTAAGAATTCTACCCCACAATTGTTAAAATTTTAATAATCTGTACATCTCAAATGCCACTGCCACCTTTGTATCATACCCTTCTGTAATAGCCTCAACTGTATACGATCATTTCTTCCTCTAAATCCCTACAGTAATTAATTACTGAAAGCACCAGTTCACTAAATCAGGCTATTCATTATAGATTTTCTGATCATATGCTCTATGCTTGGTCTTGTGATGGGAAATAAAAAGGAATATGCATGACCATTTCCTTTGCATGGTATTATGCCATGCTAGGGTACTCAACACAGTCTGGTGAGATTGCAGTTATCATTTTAAGTAACTCATGGGGACTTCCAGTTCATAAGAAATTTGTGAAATAGAGAACTGTGCATCCTTTGAGCATCTAAAATACTTCCTGACACAGCAATGGGGACTTAAGAAATATTTCATAAGACTGAATGATGGAATCTATCAGAAATTCATGCATTCTGAATTCTATCTCACATTTCATGAACCCCTAAGCTGAGACCCTTCCCTGTATTCTTCCTAGTACTGCAGAGTGCTCCATGTTTATCTGTATTAGAGTTACAAGATTATGTCAAACATAGAAACACAGAAATATAGACTTATACACAGATGAGGAAACTGAGACCCAGAAAGGTGATGTTATTGGGCTTTAACTAACTAAAGTGGAAGCTGAAGCCTAAAAGAAGAAAAAGACTCTTATATTATGCTATCTCTGTAACTGATGGACAGTATAGCATTTAAATGAACATTACCAAATTTTATAATTTGAGTACTAATTTATCCAAATCCTATCTACACAGGATTTTATTTTAATAAAATAAAATATACAGGATGTATATTTTAATACAGGATGTGTATTTTGATATTATTTAGAACATGATGGAGATATTTAACCTGCTTTATAATCTCATCATCAAATACAACTATTAAGCATTAAATAGTTACATTTGGAAATGAAACTTTCACCAAAATGTGTACTGTATACTCACAAATTCTATATACACTTCATCTTACTTTTATATGTATTAGAGAAATAGAGATTTTGCTAGTTTACCCATTTGGTGAGTACAGACAAAGAGTATTAAATAGAAAAATAGCTGATACAAAGCTATGTTATATTCCCTTGGGAATGGGTTCACTAAAGATACAGTTTTAAAAAGTCTATACTAGTCATGGTGGTACACACCTGTAATCCCAGCAATGCAAGAGATATAAATAGGAGGATCAAGGTGCAAGCCAGCCTGGACAAAACAAACAAACAAACAACCCATGAGACCCTATCTAAAAAATAATCAGAGCAAACAGGGCTAGGGGACATGGCTCAAGTAGTAAAGCACCTGCCTAGCAAGTGTGAGGTCAAGTTCAAATCCCAGTATTGTCAGAAAACATCCATAAATATTTTATTCTTGTGATAAAAGTTTAATTTTCATGAATTTGGTAGTATTCTTTGAGAATGTGCTCTATTTAAATCACAGCAATAGTTTAATTTATATTAAGTTAATTAAAATATTTAAAAAATTGAAATGAATAATTTTAAGTTAAAAATTAAACTAGGAAGTTTTAACAGTAATTAAAAATGGCAAAATAGCTGGGCATGGTGGAACATGCCTGTAATCCCAGCACTCAGGAAACTGAAACAGTAGGATCATAAATTTGAGGTCAGCCTGAGCTATACAGCAAGACCTTGTCTCAAAAAGAAGGAGTAAAATATGGTATTATTCAAAAAGAAAATCAAAAGTTCCATGGGCAGTTGTTTCTGACTGCAATATTTTTTAAAGTCTTCATATGTATATAATCTAAAACTCTGAATGAGTCAGTTGACATACAGGGACTTCTAAACAATGTTCTAAGTAAAATGTGATGAGTTAGAGACCAGTGAGAAACACAAATGACCAACATTTAAAGGCCTTACCCAGTAATATCCTGTTCTTTTGGATGCCACCTTTCACCTCATCACCAATCAAATCAGTAAGCACCTGGCACATTCCATCAATCGACTCGAGGTGTTCTGGGCAGTCATTTGATATTTTAAATCTGTCAAACCATACATTGGAAATTCCTCCCTTCATGGGCGTGTATGGCCTGTTTAGAACAAAGAACAATAGTAAAGAAAGAAAAAGAATATTAAAATGGTTGCTTTAACTTCTAAAGTATTAGTATACTGAATAAATTTAACTCTTCTGAGGTTAAAGAATTCAAATAAAAATGGCCCTATGCTGTACTTACACTGATTCTGTTAATATTTACTGAAGCCAGATGAGCATCTTTAACTTAGTCCATCTTAGGAGGTGGCACAGTTACAGTACCAGTGAATCTTAGCCCATCATGTACACTAATGCATTGCAATACACTGTTTAATATATATCTCAAGGAACTAGAAATGTTCTGCTTTAATCAGTTTCAATGGAGTTAAGGGGTTCTGTGTTCAAGTTCTGTTCTGGCAATGGTAAAGGAAATGGGATGCCAATAACCCTGGAAAGCCGTGGGGGCAAACACCAAGATACAGGAGGATATATATGATAAAACATGGAGAACAAAAGTTTGACAAAGATAAGGGACAAGAGATTCTGCTTATCACTTAGCAAGGCCTAATTTTCTCCTTATTTAAAGGTGAAAAATGACCTTTGTTTTATATGTCTTTATAGAAAAAGACAGTCAGTGACAAAAGACCCATAGTGATTGAAAGAAATCTAAGCCAATGACAACATTTCTTGTAATAACCACACACACAGGATCCTCCTACATGTATACCTCTTCTACTTTGCCATCTCACCTGTAGCTATATACACTCATTCTCCAAAGTCGCTGAAGTAAAAGCATGAAGTATATAGCTCAAGAAATAAGTGTAGGACTAAAAGATATCAGCTGCGGTCTGACCATGCTTCACTGTATCATCTCTAATTAAAATCCAAGGGAAACGGCACAAACCCAAGCAGCTAGAAATGTCCCATCCTTACTACCATAATCTTTAGGACTAGTGAAGAGAACAGGAGACCTCCACCATTCTCTGTATCAACCACACCATTCCAAAATAAGCACACATCCACACTAAGAGGCTGGGAGTCAAGAGGATTATGCTTGGAAAGTCTCTCAGAGAACCTGAGAGAAACCTAAAAAAAAAAGGTGCTCTGACTCCAACTTAACAAAATCCCATACACAGGATATCTTTTGTTATTTATTCAGAGTAAATAAACATGACTGTAGCAAGTTTTTCAAAATTTGAATGCATGTGCTGAGTACTCTTGTAAGTCAGCACATAAAAACCTAGTTTTCCCTACCTTACGTGCAAAAATTTTAAATATAGAATAGCTTTTCATATAGATATACATATTTATATGCATATTTAATTATGTTATTTTGATGGGTTTTTTTTTGGAACTACTTGTGACTGAACTTAGGGCTTGGTGTTGCTAGGCAGGTGTTCTTCCTCTTGAATCACACCATCAGCTCTTTTTTGCTTTAGTTGTTTCTCAGGTAGGGTCTTATGCTTTTTGCCTGGGACCAGCCTGAATGTTGATCCTCTTACTTAACATCTCCTTTATAGTTGGAATCACAGATGTGCACCACCATGCCCAGCTTTTTTGCCAAGATGGGGTCTGGATAACTTTTTACCTGGGCTGGCCTCAAACTGTGATCCTCCTGATCTCTGTCTCCAGAGTAGCTAGGATTATAGGTGTGAACCACCTACCCAAGCATGATGTTTTTCATGTAAATCTTATTTAGTTTTTGTTCATCTCTTCTTTCCCTTCTGCCCCTTGCATATCTTCTTCTCTATATTAGCCAAACTTGTTAATGATCTGGAAATACATCTTTAATGTTTTCTTTTGTTATACATACATATGTTCATAAAAATGAAATGTTCCAATCTGGTTTTCTTATGTATTTCATGCTCTTCTTGTTTAGCAGTATCTCATAGAAATCCTTGTGTCTGACACAGTTCTCACCCACCTTTATATATCTTTGATATAATGTTTAAAATTAAATACCTAGATCTTTTGATTTATTTTAAATGATTTTCCTAATCCATAGTTTTGCACATACAGAATCACAGATATTTTTTCTTTGCATTTTTGTTTTGTGTTTGTATTTTGTTTGCATTTTTACTTTTAAGTCTTAAATTTGAGGGAAATTTATTTCATAAATCGAATGATCTCAGGGTTCAAATTAATTTTATCCCATATGGACAGGCAATTATGCATGAGAAAGGAAGGAAGAATGGGAGGGAGGGAGGGAGGCACCCATCCACCCTTCCTAGACAAAGGTGATGTTTCAGTTTTGCCATATACTTAATTTTATTCTACATTATCTAGTCTCTTTCACTGTGGATTCTGTGAAAGAATGACACCCTAATACCTAAGGCATACACTATATATAATTAGTTGACTTCTCTCCAATGCATCTACAATGGTACTATAGGTCTATACTATCCTTGGGAACATCAAGAAAACAGTCAAACAGGTTTTTGTGATTTAAGCAAAGAACTATTTTGTTCTACTAATTTAATTATCTATTTTTGTCAGGTAGTATCACGTTGAGCATATGATAGTGGTTTCTGTGCATGTTTTGAAGTAATATGAGGTAAGTCCTTCTCTTCCTACCATCATTACACTGGTCTGTTTTTTCATACTTAGCCTGGCTATTGTCAGGCATTCATTGTTCTTTATTTGTCCAAGAAATTAATTAAAACATTTAGTAAACTTTAAAATACATTCAAATTTCTCTTTTAAAGTACTTTGCAATCTTAATAAGTGTTGTGTTTTTGTCTGAGAATTAATATTTTATGACAACCTCAGAGGAAGGCAGGGTTTTTCAGACAGCTGTCCACCCAGGCTCTCCAAGATAAAATCCTGCACTAGCTTGCTACTAGGAATACTACAGAGGAGCCTTGATTCTTCCTCATGCTCATATGCTTTTCTGACATCAGAGCTGCTTGGCTCAAGAGAGAGCGATAAACTGGAATTAGACAGAGAGAAGGCAAAAAGCATTCAAACCCTCCTCCTCCTCCTAGAAACCTCTCATGATTAACCTCTTTAAAGTAGCCTGAAAATCAAAGCAGGTGCTTTCCATGTAGTCATTATCAGACAAAATGAAACCCCACACTGTATCCAGATTGTCACAAACATCACAGTGAAGTTCTAAATCAAAACTGAATATATAACACTCACTCTAAAGTTCAAATTAGATTGTTACCCTTTTGAATTATTTCTGTTTTCCTTTCCATTTTACTCTGCTATTTCTCAAAGTGTTTATTTGTCTGTCTAAGCACTTAAATAAGGATGATATCATAGGCTAAAATGTGAATCATTCTGGGAACTCAGCCATTAATGGAAAAAAATGACATTCACTTAACTTTTTTCCTTTGACAATGCCTTATTTAATTAATTAGATAGCTCTAATTAGAGGTAGAATCCCTATAAAAGTGTTTCAATAATCTGATATCTTTTTATTCGCTCATTTTCTAAGAATTAAAATTTTCTGTCCAAAAGGAATAATTAAGAAAATTTAACAGGACAAAGAATAATTTAATTTTTTTGTGCTAAGAAAACATATGAAGAATGCGTAAGTCTCCTAAGATGTTAGACTAACCTTTAAATAAAGTATAAAAGATTGATTTTTAAACAGTTGAAAAACCTGGCACATATGTTATACTCATTCACCTTCTTCCTCAAATAAATCACTTTATTAGCTAGTATAAAACAGCTCAGACATTACACAATAAATAAATATGTTTAGCAAAGAACATCTGTGTAGTTCCTAAATCAATCAATCAGACTAGTACATACTATTAAAATATTAAGCTAAAATAAAATGTCCACAGTATTTTAAAAATAAGAAAACATTCAGTTTGAAATCAAGTTTTATTTTGATCTGTGTTCCCTTAAAGTCATAAAATCAAAATGTCATTCATACCCTTTAAGATAACAATCTGGCTCCAGTCTTCCTCTTTGTCCTCATTTCATATTATGCCCCTCTCCCCCAATATTTTCTAAGTTCTTCTGCCTCTTCCTTCTCTTCCACCAGGAAAAGACCCAGGAGCTCTGCACCTGCCATTCCTCTACCTGGAATGCTCTTCACCACCTTGCTGCATGCTGGGCTCCCAAAGATTGCTTAGGTCTTCCTGACTAGTTTTCCTGTATACTTGCAACACACACATAATTGTCTCATTCCAACTGAACCATCTTAGTATGATCTATCGCTATTAGAAATTGTCCCATTACAACTGAAGTGTCTTAACTATCACCATTTGCAATTATAATAGTTTCCCCTTTATCTTGTCTCTGTGTGAGCTCCCAGAGAGCAAACACTTCCATCTTTTTCACTAAATGAGCATTTGCAGATAACAAATGTCAACAATTATTTGTCTTTCAAGAATTATTTAGGTTAGCTAGAAAGAGAGTATCTAAAATTGTCTTATTTGTGCTTTGAATATCTTTTGACTTTTTTTTTAGTGGTACTAGGGTTTGAACTCAGGACTTCACACTTGCAAAGCAGACTCAAACTTTTTTTGTTTAATGTGGTACTAGGGTTTGAACTCAAGACATCATGTTGTTAGGCAGGTGCTCAGCCACTTGAGTACATCCCCAGTCCTCTTTTGAATTTTCTAAAGTCCAGAACTTGTAATTTCTAGAAAATGGTCAAATTTTTCTTTAGTTCCTTAAAAATAAAACCAAACTCATATTTCTAACAAGTCTTTAGGTACTAATAGGTATTTAAATATACTATTTAAAAGTCTTACCATAGTAAACTATTTCTTCAAAATAGCTGTTTTTAGTACTTGTGTACTTAGAGTATAGATCTGTTGGTACTAAGGAGAGGGATCTACTGATGTGCTTTACATAACCCAGGTGCCCTACAACTGATGAATGGACCAAGAAAATGTGGCATACGTACACAATGGAGTATTATTCAGCCACAAGGAGTAACGACATGTGGTTTGAAGGTAAATGGATGCAAATGGAGGAAATCATATTAAGTCAAGTTAGCCAGGATCAGAAAAACATATACACAAAAACAAGCATGATCATATACAAACTCAGATGCAGAACATGTTTGTAACAGTGGAACTACTCTATGGAACTCAG